TTTTCATATATATATATAGTATAAACAATCGTAGTTTTGATACTATTATTAGTTATGTAATTAAGTTTTAATTCATCTGTTGGGGCAACACATCGCTCTGGTGTCTAATTTGGCAATTATTTCATACCAAACACTAATCACACAATTATTATATATGACTTTAATTAGTTTGTCACAACATTTTATTTATTATCATTAAATGTATATATACTGTATATACTCTATACATAATTATTAATTATATATTAGATAAATTTATTTTTATGCATTCAAATTAGTTCAAATATCATTTTTTATAGTAATGTATGAAAAAAATAGTTTTTTAAATAATACAATAGTTATTAATATTATATTTTTAGCAATTTTTTCAAAAATTTAGAAAAATTAACAAGTATTATACTTATATATATATATATATATATATATAATATTTATCTTAAAATTATTTATATTACTAGTTTATAATCTTTATTATTAGTATTTATTAATAAATTATTCTTATAGTTATAATTTATAAAATATATTAAAGAAAGGTTTAATTTAAATAACTACATTGAGTTTGAGGTTTATAAGTTTTACATAACATATTATATTATAAATAACTTAATTAAATTTAATCGTAAAATACAATTGGCTATATTACTGTAATGACTATATTATGTAATTATAGTATACATTTTATATACTAATAAACATTTATCAAGTTAACATAACCATATCATTACAGTTAGATATTAATTTTAACAAAATAAAAATAGATAAAATTTTTATATTGTTATTTAAAACTAGAGTTGATAAAGTATCTGAATTTATTTTACCATATTAAGTTATATGTAATTTTTTAACTTACAAAATTTACATAACTAATACCGCTACTAAAAACTAATAATTTTAATATATTAAACAACTTAATAATTTAAATAAGTTAATTTTAAAAATATACAATAAGATATAATATGATACAACTAAAATGTATGATAAAATGATATTTGTAAAAATAGTCTAATACTTCTAATTTTTATTAATTTTATTTTAAATATTTTATTATAATAGTTTTGGTAATTAATAATATATAAATATTACACAATTATAATATATTAACAATATATCATAAAAATATTGCAAAAACACATAATTTTATATAAATATTGATAAAATTACTGTATTAATAAAAATTAGTGAATACGTTATTCTAAGCTAATATCACAATTATAATCTCAAAACTCGTATTTAAAACGAGATATGAATTTATAATTTGATAAAATTTGTTAATAGATAGATAATACAAGTTTACACAATTAGTATAAAAATAGACACTATATCTATTAAAATAATAATTACTATAAACACGTTTTTTAATTTAGTTAAATGACTTAATTTTGCTATTTATGAATACAAAATTTATTGATCATTGATTATTATGATTAAAGTATAATATAATATCTCAATATACCAAATGTAATAAACTAATAATAACTATTGTACTTATATAGGTATTGTTTAATTTTTATTGAATAAAACTGTATAACTGTATGAATTATTTTTGTCAAAATTTACTATATTTTTTGTTTAACAATTAGATATCTGTGTTAATATACAATATTTATTTTTATTTTAAAAAACTGCTTTAAAATTATTCTAAATAAATTATAAAAAAACATTATATTCTAATAAATAGTAAACAATAATAATTTAATAGCTAAAAATATTTTTAAAGTAATAAATAAAAACATTTGAATACAATTTTAAATAAATGATTGTATTTACGGTGGATTATCACTATAAGTTGTAGTAAATCTAAAAATTAATTTTAAATGTAAATTGAGTGTTGTTTTTACATTTTGTTGATTAACGATATGTCAAAAGTTATAATCTATAATTGACTTTATTAATTATAAATATTTATAAATTTTGGCGTAATAATATTTATATATAATAATAATAATTAATTTATATGAAAAGAACCTGGATGATCCGTTAAATCAGATTAATAGTGAATCAATGATTCTCAAAAACAATTTATATGATATTTATTAAAATTTATGAAATCAATAATATTTTTATTAACTTCATAAACTTCATTTATTAATTTATACGACTATATAGTTTATAATAACATACGGCATAATTATAATAAAAAACAATAATAAATATTTAATACATATGACAGGAAATTAATAGAAATTGAATTTAAATTAGATATATGCGTAAATGTTTAATATTTAAAAATTATATATATATATATATATATATATATTAATTCATATTTTTAGTGCAAAAACAGCTTAAAATAATAATTTTATTAAATAAAATACAATACTATATTATACTCACACACTTGTTGTCCACTTGTTTTGATCGGTTGTCTATTTTATCAATTCTAAAGCTTTCAATCAAAAAAAAATCTTATATTTTTCTGATAATTAATTGATCGATAGGTATGAGTGGAAAACAATGAGTGAATTTTTGGTATTCAATAATTTAAATGATATTAAATTAAATTGTAATTTAAGAATAAATATAAATAATAGTGTTTGATGTGATAGATGTGCTAATGATATGATCTATAGTACACCTTTCGGTTAGAAAAAGTATGCCTTTAGTCTAACGTCTCATTGGTTTACCTGCACTCCCACACAACACACACGTCTAACGCAATCATAATATATTGTATTAAAAACTATCCGTATTTGAGACCAACATATCGGGTCATTACTACTATCTGGTGATCACTCGTGTTATCATTAATTGTTTGCATTGCTAACCAAATACTTACCGATCAATATATCTGTTTTTAGGTTTGCCTTCAGATGCAAACACTTATAATACTGTATATAAAGTATACAAAGTTTATATTACAAACATTGAATAAATTATTTATTTATTAGAAAAACTTTACATTGGTTTTGTAAAATTTACAATACTTTAGTGTAAACTAAATAAATTTATTAATTAAATATTTATTATATTTTGATACTGTGTATTTTTTATTTTTAAATACCAATTTAAAAATAAATTCAGTATATTTATTTACAATATGTAGTTACTGTAAAAGTTTGAAACACATATTTGTAATTGTTAATTTGTAGCTTAAGTATATTATAATTTTGTTTGCATATTAGGCATATATAAAGGAAATAAAATAAAAATATAATATAATATATCATATTATAGACAATGATTTTAGAYTAAAAATCAATTTTATGGTCATATTCTTCATTACTAAGCACAAGACGATTGCATAACTCAAATCTCTTGAAGCGTTGGTTAATGAAGAGCTGTGACAGCGATGTCTCGTTGATAAACACATGAATTGTCTGTTCATTGGTATGACTTCTATCGATCAGTGCGTCCAACGATAGTATACCCATTTGTGTCTTACGAAAGTCTAATGTTTCCAATAGTAAACAACTGGTTATTAGCTGAGCGAATGTTTTATCGGAAATATTTTTCTGTCCCCGAAAATTGACTTTTCTTAAGTTTTTCAATTGTTTAATATTACTAATAGTGTTATCATTGAGAGTGTTGTTATGAAAACTACGATTCAGACCACTGGTCCATAGCTCCAGACTTTCAATTTTTGGTAAATACTTGACAATAGCGTCGATACCGTTCTTATGGATGAGGGTTTGATCAAACTGTAACCACCGGAGCTGACGACATGACCGCAAATATCTAATACTAGTGTCATTAATAGAGATATCGCTGAAGATGGCTACATAAAGATGCTCTAAAAGCCTAAGTTTGCCGATATTCTCCATTAGGTAATTGACCTCATCTTCATTGACTTCTGATTCAATTGAAACACCAAAAGCAATCATTTGAGGGAAGTTTGTGGCAATAGTTTCCATACAATTAATTTGAAACTTCGATATAAACAATCGCCTAATATTGTTGGTYTGGTGTGCCATAACTGCAAGCCCTTCCAGCGACAGTATATTACAGGGAAGTTTAAGATTGGTTACGGTTGGCGTCATATCAGCAAACAGATTGGCCGAGTATTCGGTACTAATGATTTGATTGATGTCCGAGTTATACACCGATCCCCGAAAGCACAGCAAATGTAAAACAATTGTTTCCAATTGAGACAATTTATTTAGCATATAGTGTAGGCTGTCCTGACTGATGTGTAATATTAGGAAATCCATGTAAAAGTAGCGCAAATTCGGTAGCCGTGTGACCATCTCTGCCACTTCATCGTATGTGATATATAGTGTGCGTCCATTGATTTGACACTCGTTTAACTCAAGCCTCAGGTGCTGTAGTGTCGGCGAACAAGACTCGTAGACCAAAGACAACAAATTGTCTTTTATTTTTGTAAACTTCAGTGATATACACAACGTCTCTAAACTGGTATATAGTTTCAGCGCTGTGTTTATAAACATTCTGTCTTTAGCATCATTTCTATCAAGAAACTCAACCGAAACCATTTCAATCACTGATACCCGACCCCGACATTGGTTGAGTCTATCGACACGACTGTCCTGTAGTATGTAATCGGATATAATGAGACACCGTTTTGATGAAAATGATARATCAACCAATTGTTGCCACAATTTGCATACATCTTGAGCTTTAAGTTTATGCTTGAAGTTAAGATAACGATCAAACACGAGATACAGAAACTCATTGGGTATGTCATTAATGGTCGGTTTGTTAACCATTTTTGGTGTTACMGTTATAACCATATTTACGATAGAAATAATATCACAGAATCTAACAATTTTTAAACATTTTTTGCAAATAGTTTGGATAATTGTCACTTTAATTGCTATTTAAATTTGAATAAACGATTCGTTTATTTCTATACAATAGGTTTTTAATATACAATTATCGCGTGACATAAACTGATATAAATTAATTATTTAATGGAAATTACTAATATCTGAGAAGTGTTTAATGTTTTTTAATTGCAATTTAATACAACAAATTAGATTTTGATTGAAATAATCGCAAAAATCTAAAAAAACTTCTTAATCACAACTCAAGTATCACTTCTTTTAATTTTCCTCTCCTTCTTTAGTCAATTCTGCGGCTCTTTTGTGTGCGGCCTCGACAGCTGCGGACACACCTGAAGCGCAATCGGCTTTGTCGAGCACATGAATGTCGTATATGGCGGGTCTGGCCGGTGAGCACACGTCATCTCGAAGTTCGGTCGAACTTTTTCCCGATTCAAGCAATGACTGCGCTGCCGATTGAACAGTCTTTGCGGCGAACTTTGTGGCCATATCTCTGGAAAGTCCCATTTTGGTGGCGCCGTCAGACATAGCAGCGATGAAATAGTAGCTAAAGGCTAGACCTGCACCACAAGCGGCACACGCGGCGTCCATTTGACTTTCGGGAACGAACTCTAATTTTGCCACTTTTGACAGCAATTTCTGATARGTTCGACAATCTTTTTGCTGTCCGGTTCCACATCAATAGCACAGATACCCAAWCCATAAGCCACTGCMCAGTWSATGACAATTCTGTGCATTTCTATCAAATACTTCTCCGATGTTCGGGATTCAGAAGGCATTGACTAATCTCTTTGAGAGTGAAACCCGTGACCAACGAGAGGATGAAAATTAGGAATGAAATTAGTGGTCAATGGAAAGGGACGTTCGCCGCCCTGTTTGTAACAGTTGCGGATCACTGAGCCGTGCACTGCAATGAAGACAATATCGCAGCCATATTTAGCAAAGATATCCAAATTTCTTTTGGTTATATGAAGGCCTGAATACTGTTGTTTGAGTCGTTCCAAGTTTTTGGTGGTCGGAGCGGACACATGAAGACGATTGGACTCGATTTTGCCGTAATTGACAATCCATTGAGCAATGATTCTGTCATTCTTCCGGTACCTATGAACCCGATCTTTGCCTTTGATATATCAACTGTCAGTTTCTTTGAATGCTTCGACATCTCTTTGATTTGGATCTGAATTAATAACTCAAAAAAATTAAGCGAAAAATCAAGTAATAAAAGAAATGATTAACTTTTTTAAACTGATTTCTGATTATTTGTTTAAAAGTAATTATAAGTAATTATAAGTAATTTGAATTATAATATAAAGTGCAAATATTTTTCTTTATTCTTAATGTTTTATAAATCAAATATCTATAATACTATATAATTTGGTGTTTATTTAGTCTTGAAAACGTGATATATTTTTATTATTATTAAAATTAGATTAATTGATTTTACAGTATTAAAATAATTTTTATTTTAGTTAAATGTCGACAATCATTATAATTATTCTATATTTATGAATAAAATTATATAATAATATGACATATTTGTCATATTATATTTTTATTAATTTTAATATTTAAATTTTTAATTTTTATTTCTATTATATTTTTTTATTATTAAGTCCTAATATGCTATTAAATTATTTATTGTATATTACAAATATATACATTTTTATATGTATATAAAAATACATAATGTTTATTTTTTTATCAATTTTGTTGATCATTTTATGTTATAAAGTATTTTACCTAATTTAAATTATGCTTTAACCTATTTACTTGACAACTCTATTGATAATCATAAAAAATTAATAATTTTCAATTTTCATTAGTAATTTTATTATTGAATACAATTTCACACATATAAACACATTATTTCCTTGTAATTTAATTTTATTATCACTTATTAAAACAAGCAAACAAATAAACAAATTTATATCATTTTTAAAGACAATATACAGTATTTTTAATTTATTTACATTAAGTCTGTAAAATATTAGAAGATTCATTAATAACACTAATTATCTTATCATTTAATACATTATAGTCATTGCTAATAGAAATTTCCAATTAATTAATTTTGAACTCAACACCACATTCATGCATATTATCAATCAATAAATACTTAATAAATAATTAATTATTAATCAGTTATTACTATTGTGTTTTATTGTTATTTTTATTACTATTAGGTTATAAAATTAGTATCACCTGTCATATACTAAAGATATTGAAGATATCATATTGTTTTTAATTAGATTTAATAACTATAATGACGTTTTTCTATTAATATCAAACACTGCACTAAAAAATAGTTTTAGTCTATTTTCAGGTAGTTTTTTAGTTGTTTGAAAACTTTTTTTTGTTAATTTTATATCTCAAGTATTGTATTAATATCTCGTGTCGTTTCTTACAGTGTTATCCATTAAACTCTCTCTAATCAATCAATCACTTCATTTGCTATAATAATAATAATAATAATAATAATAATAATAATAATAATAATAATAATAATAATAATAATAATCAGTATATATTTTTAGTGCTAATAAATATTTGATTTGCAATCAAATTTATACAAATAAAACTTTGCAATTAATAAAATTGAATAATGTATAGTACCGGTAATTAATTTTATGTTCACTATTATAATATTGATATATAAAATTTATTATTATGATTTTTATTAAATGTAAAGTTTCTAAATATTAAATACATTATACTTGAATTTTTAAAAATATATTCTATAGTATTATTATAAAAATATAATATATTATTGAATTATTGAAAAACAAAAGTAGCTAAACTTTAATGCAATGATTATCTGATACAATATATAAAATATTATAAAAATAATATTATAATAAAATTTGTATAAATAGTTTTTTAAAAAGTATATAAACATTAATTGATATAATCAGTGATATTGTTTAAGCGCATCAAATCAAATGTTATATAATAGAAAATACGTGAACAGGTTTTTTAATAAAAAAAATATGTTAATAAAAAAGTTGTAAAAATTTATATTTAATTAATTTAATATAACATTCAGTTATAATAATTATTGACATTTTGTATCTTAAAAACGAAATATTCTGTGTGTTATTATTGAAGTAAACTTTTAATACAACACTTGAAATGGGGTTTCAATTGACTGTCAAAGAGTTACTTAGTTTATGAATACATTTGTATGTATTGACTGTGCAATAGGTGTCAAACAAAACATTGTTATTGTGTTTACTATTTATTTGATGTTTGAATTGCGTTACAATTGATTGAATAAATTGATTGCCATTTAGTGGACATTGACTTCAAAGTGAGTGTCGAGTCGTTAATGACATGACTTGAGTGAAGAAGACATCGAAAGGAGATATGGTTTGCGATAAGTGTCAGACAAAACTCGGTAAGTGTTTGAACCAATTGAGTGATTAATTATAATTGAAGTGATTGTGTGACCAATTGATTGATTGATTGATTGATTAATAGGTAAAGTGATAACTCCGGACACGTGGAAATCGGGCGCCAGAAATACGACCGGTATGTCTGATAAACAATAAGTATATGACTAATCCATTGTTGATAAAAAGTGATGTCTATTCTTGTAGAGAGTGGCAACAGTCGTGCCATAACAACAACTGAGTCTTCAAAATGTTTGCCATTCTTTAAATACGCGGAATTGTGTCGTATTGTTGTCGAGTCGTTGACATCATCTGATAATAACGAGTTTCATAACGACGAAGATTTGTTGCAAAATATTTCATCGATTATACAGAAACTACTGAAGAATTGTCGCGAAAATCCTAAAAATTTGCAGATTTTATTTGAGAAGAACTTCAATTCGTTATTATTAAATGGATTCAATTGTCTCATTAGGAATGGTATCAAAGAATCACGAGCTGTCCAGTCGGCTATTTTGGATCTGTTTGTTGAGATTTGTCGCCACAAGATTAGTGCTGATGAGTTAAAACTTTTTATTAGTGCCTTTAAAGACAATGGATCTCAGTTAGACTTATGTCTGAACGCATTGTCGCAAATTGTGTCCATCAGAAGCTCAGATTGTGTTTTAAAACCAATGTATTGGTTATGCTTTCCATTGGAACCGATTCTGGTTTCTGCTCTTAACTCCAATAATCCAATAATCTCATCAAATGTTAGCCAAACGCGTCACTCGATAGTCTACGACTCGAAGACAAAACCTAATCAAATCAGTTGGAGTTCAGCCGCCATTGCAATGCCGATACCGAAAGCCGACGAACTGTTTGCCAGTTCTTGTAAAACATTTTCATTAGTTTTTTGGGCATTTTTCGACAAATACAGCAATACTTTAGCTTCAAATCATAATACCGAATCAAATGATGAAAATTTTACGAATAATTTAAATGAAATGAACGAAAATCAGTGTAAAAGTTTTGATACAAAAATTCATGTGATATCAGTTTCATTTGAGTCATCAACTATTGAAATCTGGTTTGATATACAACTGACACAATTTGTATATAAGATTTGCAAAGTGATTAACGGCAGAAATATTGTGTGCGCTGAAGAAAGACAGACAACAATTAGTGACAATTTTTTAGACAAATGGCATCTCTTGAGGTTCAACTTTAAAGAAGTTTATCTCAAAAGATCTTCATCTTTATTGTCTATAAGTCAAAGCACTGATGGTGTGGACGAGCATTCAGTTAAACTAAACTATTCAAATGTTATCCCAAAACATCCGCAATCGGCGGCAGTATTGTTGGGATCAGTTCACAACAGTTGTTTTCAATGGAAATGTGGTAATTTGATGGTCTTTCGGACCACATTATCACTTGAGTCAACTCTCTACTTATATTGTTTAGGATCTGATTTCTCTAATTTTTCTTATTGTAAACTAAATGATAAAAATAATTCACTTTTGTTACCGAAAACTTTATCCGACAAAAATATGGAAAATATTTTGTCAACATTTCGACAAATGTGTGAAACAGACATAAGTAATACACTTACAGATAATATTATGATTGTATATAAACCATCAAAATGTGATCACTTTTTGTTATATCCGAAACAATCGGTTATTAATAATACAAATGTTGCCAATTTTTCTAAAATATCATTACCGATGACATCGAAACGTTTTTTAACAAATATAAATCAGTTAAATGTGTCGGAAATTACCGAACATAAAGTGCTCGAATTTGGCCGAATCGAGAGACACCACTATTATGGCTTTCATAAGGCAGTGGCCGACTCGGGAGGAATCAACATATTTTTGTTTCTTTTCGCTCATATTATTGACATTACAAACGAAGAGAAATTGCAATCAAAAGCATTGGAAATATTGCTTAAAGTTTTTGATTCACATCAACAACACAGCGATGTCTTTATGAATCATTACGACAGTCTATCGCTTATAGGACAGGTTTTAGAGACCGAAAAAGCTATTATAACATCAGATATTTTAAGATATTTTTTACAATTTTCTGTTACAAATTGTGAATCGGATGCCGTCATCATATCGAGTGAAGCTTTTACATCACTAATCAATTCATGGAAAGCCTGGCACAGGAATCCCATTACAAGTAAAGCCTTGTATCAAACCATATATTCATTGATATCATATACAAATCCATACAAAAATTATAATATTTTTCAAATGAAAAGAGCAAATGTTTTGCAACAGATCTTACTTATGACTCAAGAGATGTACATACAAATGAATGATCAAAATGAGTTGCATTTAACTAAAGAGTCGCTGACATCAGTGTTGAAAATTTTGAAGATTTTAATTGGAAGACCTCCTGATTTATCACAATTAAGTGATGTTTTTGATTGTATTTTATTACTACATAGAGCTGAGACAGCTTTTATAAGTCAATCGCGAAACTCTTTCTATTATTTGTTCCCTTCGGTCTGGAATATGGATATCGATGTTTCTCCACAAAAAAGTTCATCAAATTTAGATTTGAATGCCATTGATGTCGACGAATGGGAAATCATTTCTGAAGAAGAGATCTCATTGACTGATGAAGTGGTTGACGATTGTTTGGATCAGATAACAGCCGGTCTGATAGCAATGATTGGTGAAACAATTGATTGCATGACTGATGATATATTAGACAAAGTGATCGGACCTATCATTAAATTAGAATATTTAGTTGTTTTGGCAAATAATAAATCGTTTCGCGTTAGAGAAGCTGTTATGTCAGTGATTTATATATGTATCAAACGATGTAAATCAAGTTATTGTATTAATCAGTTTATTAAAGATAAAGGTTTTCATTTATTGGCCAATCAATTACATCGATATCCATCGTCACCGAAGCTCATGAATGTCTGTCTCGCCATTATCTTAGAAGTGAACGATTTGTCTGACTTTAATTTGGAAAATACTTTTGAAATGAAAAAAGGTTTCACCGAATGGCAAAGCGATCTGTTTGTGCCATTGTTTGCAATTCTTCCGAAATGCGTTTACGACATCTCTTTGAGTCACAACGGATTGCAAGCTTTCTATCGTCTAATGTCTTCATTTAACATAAATTTTTATAGAGATCTCTATGAAAATGGTTTACTCGAGTGCTTAGCAAAAGTTATTATTTGTCATAATTCATACAAACAAAAATCAAAATCCAATGATACCATTGATGGTTATGAAGAAGATTTAGTCAATGAAGATGTGAATTGTATTTTACGTGAGTTTTCGTCCGTGTTTTTCTTTGCCACCGGTGCTGCTAATCATCAAATCTTTTGTAATGCATTACAATTCTTCGCTCTCTTGGAAAAGAAGACACAATCGATTAATAAGATGGCGTTCAGAGACTGTCAAATAGCCCTCTTTGAGGCCGCTTTTGATTGTATCCAATATATTGCCGACGAAACCAAATGTGTTCCTCACAAGAGCTCAAAATTAGCTTTAGGTTTGTTTGAATAACTTTAATAATGTTAATTAAATGAATGATTTGTAACTATAAGAAAAAATGATTTATTTTATTGTTTAGGTAATAACACTGCGGAACTATTTTTGAATATGTTTACATTGCCTGAAGATAACTATGAGAGTGGATCCGTTACCGCCAATAACGATACTTTTGATTCGTCTTCATTTACAAGTTTTGATTATTCAGATCGTCTACGAAATGGTATGACTAAAATGCAACTCCACAGCAAAGAAGTCATCGAAAGATTTAAAGATTTGACTCCAAAAGCTATGGATTTAATTCTGTATAAAGGTTTGTCAATTGGTGTCACTATATATACAGATCTGTATAATAATTATATTTATTTATTTTTCTAAAAAGCTGAGGAATGTGTTGTTAACGAAAAAGAAAAATATTTTTCTCGAAGTCTTCTTCATATAATGTGTCAAATAATGGAAGTGATTCACACCGAAGGCTCAAAAAATAAAAAGAAAAGTCTTTGGATTAATATATTATGGAACTGTAGAGAAGTGATCAAAACACAGATCACTCGACTCATCCTATACTTGATATCTCCACTACAATCCATAGACGACAGACATTTTAGTGTATCACTCGTTACTTCATTTAATTGTTTTACAAATTTAATCAAAATTAATGATGAATTTGGACACAACTGTAAATCATTTATTCTTGATTTAATGGATGCGATCAACGATAGCAAAAAACTCAAAGATTTACATCTATTGCTAAAAGTTATTGACTCACAGATAGGCAGTCCTCCAGAGAAACACTATAAAGAAGCCATAAGTCAGTGGTTTAAGTATTTATCGGAACAACAAACGAATTATGAAAAAACAATAGAATCGACTAAAGATCGGACATTGAATCAGTTAAAGAATTTAAGTCAAAAAGTTATGGAAAGTGCGATATTTGTTACTCGATCTGTGGTTGAGTCACAAAATCATGAAAGAAAACAATACATATATCATCTTAAGAGTGAACGAACAAAGAGTTTTATGTTAAAGAAATCATGGAAATGGATTGTCGATCAATTAACTCATGAGAAGGCTGTTTGGTATTTTGAAGATTATTTTCCAAACTCGTGGTCATTGGATCCGATTGAAGCGCCGAACCGTATTCGTCGCAAACTTACGAGATGTTCACTTAATATTGCCGATCGATTTTTTTGTACCAAAAATAACCAGAAAACCAGTCGATTATTGTTATCATATATATTCAGTACGGATACAACCGATACATCCATTGTTATCGGCAGACTTCACGCAAATGAACGCATTATTTATACATCAAATGCATCGATCATAACACCAGATGAAGAATTTCCCGGAGAAATATTGATCAGTAATTCGTGTATTCATTTTATATGTGACAATAAACATACAAATCATCAAATTATTGGTGAAGTAATTCAGACCAAAGTATTGCCATTTGATGAGATTCAAGAGATACTTAAACGAAGATATCTCTTACAGAATAATGCATTAGAAATATTCCTCACGAGTGGCTTAACTTATTTCATTAGTTTCGAGTCGACCACAAAACGTGAAGATTTTCTGAATCAAATACAGGTTAAGAATTTGCCGAATGTTTCGGAAAGTAAATGTTTGATAGCATTGACACAAATGTGGAGAGAAAGACAAATATCAAACTTTGAATACTTAATGCATTTGAATAAACTTAGCGGAAGAACGTTCAATGATTTGATGCAATACCCGATTTTTCCGGTCATTTTAGCCGAATATTCTACAGATTTCTTAGACTTAAGAAATCCAAAGTCTTATAGAAATTTAGCGAAACCAATGGCAATACAAAACAAAGAACGAGAACAATATTATTTGGATCAATACGAGTATCTAAAGAATGAATACGACAGAAGTGATATTAACGGCGAATCATTAATGGCGGCCACTATTGCGCCCTTTCATTATGGCGCTCATTACAGCAATAGCGGTACTGTTCTCCACTATTTGGTTCGGTTGCCGCCATTCACACAAATGTTTCTCAACTATCAGGACAACAACTTTGACATTCCCGATCGTACGTTTCATTCGTTGGCCACTACATGGAGATTGGCTACCGCTGAGTCGACCACCGATTTTAAGGAATCTATTCCCGAATTTTATTTTTTGCCAGAATTTCTAGTGAACAACGAAAGCTTTGATTTCGGTGTCCGACAAAGTGGCGAACGTGTCCACAGCGTTAAGGATGCCGTTATATAGTCGATCCAATGCTCGCCTATTTGTGTTGATTAATCGTCAGGCATTGGAGTCTAACTTTGTCTCTCAAAATATTCACAAATGGATTGATTTGGTTTTTGGTTACAAACAGACGGGTAAAGCAGCGGTTGAGGCCATCAATGTCTTCCATCCGGCGACTTATTACGGAACCGATGCCACAAAAATAGAGGACCCATTGAAACGAATGGCAATTCAAACTATGATCAAAACATTTGGCCAAATGCCGCGACAACTGTTCGCTGTTCCGCATCCAGTATTAGTACACGACATACAATTGGCTCAAGAAAAAGATGTGTCACAAGTGATGGGTGAAGTAATGGGTCTTAAGTGGGGATCATATGTGGGCTCACCGGCCGAATCTGAACCGACAGTCGTTTGGCGAAAGAGTCATTCCATTAAAATGAGTCAATTAATGGCTTTATCGACTAACGATGTCTTCGCAATTCCTCACAATTCTAGTCTTTTTCTGACATACAGTCGTCAAAAAGGTGGTGCACTTATCAATACATCTTATATAACATCAGTAGCCCTATGCATGTGGTCTAATTCGGACCCAACCATCAAAATTAAATTAGATTCTTCAGCTATCGTGTCTTTCTCGCCGGCAAATGTGCTTTTAGATGAGGTTTGAAATTAATTGGAAAATTTATTTATCATTATTTATTAATTTTTTTTATCGATATTTTTCAGATAACTTACTGTAAATCAGTTCCTAATTATGAAGTTCTCCTCATTGGTTACGCGTCGGGTATAATAATTGYATATTTCATTGCACAACCAATTAAGGTATGTTTTTGTTGATTGATTGACTAATTTTTTTGGGTTATTTTTGAAAAATTTACACATTTWWAAAAAATAAATTACAGTCAAATCAAATGGTTGAACTTAAAAGACCACAAACCACACTCTATGGTCACTCTTCAGCGATTAAATGCATTGAAATAAGTAAATCTTTCAGTATTGCCGTTACGGGTGATGTCAATGGTGTTTGCATTGTCTGGGATTTGAACCGATTTTGTTACGTCCGGTCTCTTCCTAACCATAAGTTTCCAATCGAAATGTTCGCAATCAGTGAAACGTTAGGTGATATCGTTTCAATCAGTCATCAAACGATAAAACAACTGAAAAGTATATTTTGTGTCAATACTATTAATGGTGAACTCGTTGGTCAAGTGATAACAGATTCAAAGATAACGGCCGTATGCTATTCAACAGCACCGGAGGGCTTATCGGTGAACGTAATCGCCACGGCTTTTGTCGACGGATCAATCAAACTGTGGAGTTCTTGGGATTTAACACCTGTTACACAACTTAGATCTGATATTGAGCTTCCAATCAATTGGTTTGTAAATTAATTTTCTTAAAAACCAAATACTTAAAATTAACGGTAAATTAACTAATAATTTTTGTTTGTAATCACTATTAGTATGACGTATTCCAATGACAATCAGCTCCTATATGTGGCCTATTCTGATAATACAGTAGTTGTTTGGGAAAATAGTTGCAATAAAAAACGGACTCCAAGTCTTACAATTTTATAATTGTTTTTAAAATAACAAATTAATTATATAGGATAATAAGTATATATATAAATAAATATATATATWTTTTTATAAATATTTGTTTTTAGATTTTAAATTATTTATTAATAATGTTTTTAAAATCATGCCATTAAACAATAATAGTGATATATATAAATACATGTTTAAAATTTTGTAAATTAATGAAATTTTTATATACAAAAAAAAATATTTTTATGAATGATTACTAATAAAAATAACTGTTAAACCTGTGCCGATTCATCCTGAGTATCAACAATTTGTTGCTCCCGGTTCTCATACGCCCAGAAGCCGTTTATATCGATTAATATATTAATGACAGTGTCTGCCTGTCCACTATTTTAGATAATAAAACAAAATAAGAAATTACCGGTTCTTGAAATATTTAGTCTAATTTAATACCATGTAATGAGATCTTCAAATGTGATTTTTGTTGCTTCGAGTGGTGCAACCATATCGAAGATTTCATCGCACACATCGTCGACACTCAACGGTTCCTGTCCTTGAAGTCTCATTTGTTCTTGAATTGCCTAATAAAAAGACATTTAATTTGTTAACTCTTAATATATTTTTTAAAAACATTGTAAGAAACTTACTTTAAAGAAATAGTTTATACAAAATGCATCCATAAATCGTTGATTTTTAATATCGAGAATTTGAAACAAAAAATATATGGATTGCGGTTCCTTTCGGTTCTCGAGTGCCAACACTATATCAATATAAGTCTTGAAATCCTTCAAAAATTAATTATAAATATTTAGAAATAAAATACATATTTTTACAAATAATAGTTTAGTCAATAATATTATCTTACAATTTCTTTTTCATAAGTAATACAGACATCAAATAATCGTTCAATGAATAGATTTGTAAGATTTCCATATCTTTTTTTTGTCAAAATATAAAACCGTATTTAAGTGTCAATAGTATTGTATACCTTATATAAAGTGTTTAAAAACTGCTCACTTTATCATTTCTGCTTTGGATAGCATACCGTTGTGGTCGTCATCTAATCTCAAATACGAACTGTAAAGACGAAGAGTGTTTGTCGCTGAGAACCAATTGGCTTCTTCACGTGTTTTATTGAGATCTTCATCGCGAAGCTAATCCATTGAACACAATATCAATTAAATTCATAGTTAMAATAATATCTTAAGTTAAAAAATACTTCGAGAAGATCGTCGAGAAAACCGGAACAAAGAATGTCTACTATTTTGATTTTATTGTGTTTATGAGGATCTAAGAAAAAGAAGAATTTGCGAACAGCTATACAAATGTAGAATTTATGAAATTCTTTGTCCAATGAATCCAACTTTCAATGAAAATATTTCAAATAAAATTAAAATAAATATTATTATCGCTATATATAAATGCAATCAATTACTTGAGATAGTGTTGGAATCAATTCTTGGATATAATTTTCCAAATCCTTTTGAAATTAATAAAATAAAATTTAACATTAATTTGACAAAAGACTACTCAAATTAAACTGTTGAATATCTTACAGTTTCTTTAAGAAATCCCTGACCAGTGATGTCATACAATGAGAGTGCAATTCGTGTCTGTCTTAACCAAACTTTTCTCATAATATAATTGAAAAAATTTAAAATCGAAATCTTTCCGTTCGGGTGRTTGTCCTGGAGTTTGACGAATATTTTGGCCGTAAAGTACTCTCTAATTATAAAACAAATATTATTAAAATTGACACAAAATTTGTGACAATAATATGTAAGACATACCTTGCCTTTGAATTGGGATCAAGTAATGTGAGGATCCGTTTGAACTCTAAATAATCGATTCTTTGCTTATCATATGACTCGGATGTCTGCGAACACGACTTCTCCAACAAAACCCATAATTGCTGTCAAATTGGATGCAATCATAACTTTTGATTAGTATTTCAAATAATAACTAAATAAATCTGAAGACACAAAACCTGTAATTCTTCATTTTCTATCACTTTTTTGCTCATATTTTGCAAAAACAATGCTCTGAAACAAAAATATTTGCCATTCATTAATGAATTCAGTGGTAATATATCATCAAATGTCTTGAGATCTCATACCTGGCTTCTTCACGGACACGACTGGCCAATGAATCATCATTTAATGGGATCTGATTGAAAGCAATTAGTTATTTCATTGTTTAATGCGATTACAAGTAATGCAATAAATGACAAACTTTTTGATAAAATCTCGGGATTTCTGTCAACTTCTTGTAATTATTAGTCAACTGTTTAGTCGCCGGACTTATTGACTCCATCTTCTTATTGTCCATTTGTCTACAATTTTACAAATAACTATAAAATCTTTATAAAAGTGTTACCATCGATGATGTGATCATATCATCAAATGTTAAACTAATTGATTGTCAATCACTTGTAAACAAAACATTGAAATGTTTGCCAAAAATTGAAAACCAATCGCAATATTATAAGATATTTAACAATAATATCAACACATATAACGTTACATACAGTATATAACATTCACTTACATTATACAGTATTTTATGATTTATTTGTGTTATTAAAGTCTAATACAACACTTGAAACGGGGTTTCAATTGATTGTCAAAGAGTTACTTAGTTTATGAATACATTTGTATGTATTGACTGTGCAATAGGTGTCAAACAAAACATTGTTATTGTGTTTACTATTTATTTGATGTTTGAATTGCGTTACAATTGATTGAATAAATTGATTGCCATTTAGTGGACATTGACTTCAAAGTGAGTGTCGAGTCGTTAATGACATGACTTGAGTGAAGAAGACATCGAAAGGAGATATGGTTTGCGATAAGTGTCAGACAAAACTCGGTAAGTGTTTGAACCAATTGAGTGATTAATTATAATTGAAGTGATTGTGTGACCAATTGATTGATTGATTGATTAATTGATAGGTAAAGTGATAACTCCGGACACGTGGAAATCGGGCGCCAGAAATACGACCGGTATGTCTGAAACACTTATATTTTACTATTTCGTGATATTTTTAATGTCTTTTATCATTACAGAGAGTGGCGGACGTGCTATCAATGAAAACAAGGCGTTGAGCGCCAAGAAGTCGCGTTACAATCCATATCAGGCAAAGTTTGAGACCTGCAGGATATGCAAACAAAAGGTCCATCAATTGGGATCACATTATTGTCAAAGTATGTGACCATTAGATTGAATTGATTTATTCATTTGTCATGATATACGGTATACCTATAGTAAGACTAATAGTAAGACTATATTATGTTTTACAATCAATTAGGTTGTGCTTACAAGAAGGGTATTTGTGCGATGTGTGGCATCAAAATCATTGACACCAAGAAGTACGCCCAAAGCACCGTCTGATTTATCACTTAACTGTCGATTCATTTCTAATTTTAAGAAATTGTTTTTTGCTATTTGTTTTAGTTTTTTAATTATTATTTTAATTTGATTTTTGGTGATTTGTTGTTAATATGTGACATCACTTGTTATTTAGTAAAACCGATTGTTTTAATCATTTATTCATTTATTGAGAGAATTACTGAAAAAATGATGAAAACTAACGAAGAAAATGATTTGAATGAGAAAGAACTCGAAAGTGAAGTTAAGTTTAATCCTCCACTTTATATACAAAGATATCAATTTGTTTTTGATTTGTTGAACAAAAACAGTCATTTAGTGACAAAAATAGCTGATTTCGGTGCAGCCGAAGGCAAAATTATGCGACGCTTTAAAAGATTATCAAATGTCGAGGAAATTGCTTTAATTGATTGCGACGAGTATTCACTTGAAATCTGTTCACTAGAGGCTCGACCTCTTGTTTATGACTATCTATTTAGTGAACGATTGATAGAAATGACAGTCAATGTCTATAATGGAAGCGTCGCTCAAAGGGATAGTCGTCTTTTGGGATATGATGTCATCACTTGTATAGAACTTATTGAGCACTTAAAGGATGAAGTGTTGGTTGCTTTGCCCGACAATATATTTGGCTTTATTTGTCCAAAATTTGTTATAATAACGACACCAAACAGTGAATACAATGTAATGTTTTCGCAGCTTAAATGCGGACAATTCAGACATTGGGACCATAAGTTTGAGTGGAATCGCCAACAATTCACTAATTGGTGTCAAACTATTGTTAATAGATATCCTAATTATACCTATGAATTGACAGGTGTTGGTGAACCACCCATTTGTCGCAAAGACATTGGTTTTTGTACACAAATTGCTATTTTCACGCGATTTCAATCAAATGAATGTCCAAATGAAATAAATGTTTGCGAAGACTATAATAATAATTATAAGTTAATCGAAACTTTTAAGTATCCGATGAATAAAAATAACAAAACTGAATCCCAAACATATGTCGATTGGCCCACAGTTTGAACTAAAGATAGAGATTTCAATAAAATTTTATTTGTATTTAAAAATGCAATTAAATTAATAATTTAACTGAAAATTGCCTAACGATTGCTGTATTAAAATTGAATTACTTTCACTAAATAGTTTTAATAGTTTACATTTAATTTACTTTACTATTAAACAAATAATCTTTATATTTATAATTGATTAATTTACATTATTTGTATTACTTATGAGCTTGTTAATTTTTTTATAACAGATAATTACATTTAAATTGTAATAATTATAAAATCATTTATTCAGAATATTAAAAATACATTTCTTAAGACTAATTTCATACAATATAATGTATAAGAGATTTATAGAATTAAAATAAATAATAAAAAAACAATTATTGCAGTGAATTATAACTCGTGTCGTGTAATGAATTATTAGCTAATTGAGTGAAAAGTAGTGGTCTTTTTGGCGATAAAACCGAATCGTTTGGATTTAAATGATTTACTGGAGAATTGAATGTCGTAGACATTCTAAATGGTGTTCCTCTGAATGACGTTCCGTGTGATTGAATGCTGACATTAGGGGACGTCACACAAAACGACGTGAGTGGTCGTGGAGTACCCTTTGTGTACATTGACTTATTGGCTTTGGAGTCAAACTGAAGAGGAATATAAGAGACAACACCACTATTCCAACATATGGTAAGTAGAGAACCGCTTCGGAAAGTGTTGTGAAATGTCAAGACAAGCGGTATCTCAGTGCTTACGCCGTGAATAAAACCAATTGGTGTCACTTCTAGATTGGATCGGATCACTGTCTTGTATAACGCTATGTATTCGTTATTATCTATGAATAAACAATTGAAAAATAAACAATTGATTTAACAAATTAAATGACAATTTGTTATACCTTTAAAAGATATGGCCAGTCGTTCGCTATTCTTATCCCAAATCATTTGATGAATATTACCACCAACTTTGACACCATTGGGAAATTGTCGTTCAGATAAGTCTAATACTTCTAAACACTTTCGCGTACCGCCGACATCATTGGGTTGCGGACTATCATAAAAAGGTATGGCAAAGACAGTTGGATTGTCTCTCGAAGTAAATAGAAGTATTCGTCCATTGGGTCGACTCCAACACGCAGTTTGACAAATATCACTGAAATTTTCTGACCATTTAGCAGATGACCAGTTCTTTGTTTCAAAAACACATATATAATGGCCAGTAGTACTAGTCATTAGACGGTTACCATCGGGAGACCAAAAAAGTCTTGTAAAACAAACACCAAATCGTCTAATGGTTTTGTCAATCGAAAGTTTATCAATATCTATAATGTATAACATCGATGATTGAGGACTACATGCAACTAAAAATTGTCCGCTTGGATCAAATGAGAGATCGGTTAATGGACTCTTAAATCCCTTATTTATTATACGAATGCTTTCTGATTTCGGACGCAATTGTTGTGAATTAGAATCGACTGTCCAAATGATAATCGCTGACTGACAACAAACTACTAGAATCTCCTCACGAGTTGGACTCCAAGACATTGCCATCACTTTTGATTGGTTAATATGTTTAAGCAATGCAATTAATGAAGTGTTTGCCGAATAGATATAAATGCAATCATTTATGTGACAAACGGCACATTTGAGGCCTTCCGGATGCCATTCAAAGGTACGAATCAAACCTTTCTTCCAATCCATTGATTTACTAAACTCTTGGCCCAATTCTTCATTTGAGTGCTAAAACAATTCAATTTTATATCAAATTTTTATAATAACAGTAATAATTAAAATATAAATCAAATCAATACCAAAGCAAATGGATATATAAAGACGTAAAAGTTGAGTAAGAGTTGCCATAAATGTAGTATAAATCCGGCAATTATTTGGTTAAATCTTATGAGACGACTGTTTTCAATGTTAACGTAATTATCATAGTCTCTAATCATCTCAAGAGACGGAATCAAACCATTGACGCGAAGACATCGAACAAAGCGCTTCCTAAGTGTTTCATCTCTTGTAATAAAAATATTGTCGACCTTTTCATTAGTAACCGTCGGCTTAATTATGTCTCCGTTTTTCACTTGAATTGTTGGATATATTTGAGCCTAAAAAATGACGGATCAAATCAATGATTATCACAAAAAACGTGTTCAAACTTGTCGTTTAAATTAATTATTTAATTAATTACTTCATCGATGACCAAACAGTCGGCGTCTCCGTCCTCAAGATATTCGTTGTGTTCGCGTAAAGTACGGTAACCTCTGGTCGGGTCGGGAGCCGGCAATGTGTCCAACGATGACATTGTCTGGCGTGTGATGTATGTCTTCACCGATGTCTTCAATAATTAGTGTCAACTCAGGTGTTGTTAATATCAATCACTAAACGATTCAAATGTTTCATTCAAACGATTATTATATTTAGGGTTCGATAACATTCACATTTATTCCCTCCTTTTATAATCCAAAAGTTCCATATGTTTTCACTCCGTGGGAATTCCTGGGGAATCTACAGTATTTCGTTGTCATACTATCTTTTAAACTCTAAACAACACATTTTATTATAATGTTTAAAAAACAAATATTATATTAAACTGTATTATATTGTATATATATATATGTTATATATCATAAATAGTCACTAAATTTATTGAATTTAAATTTATTTTTAAATATTTCAATATTTTTTGTTAAGTTATATTCAAGTTTTGATACTATTTATARTAATAATATAAAAGATATAATATTACTCCTTTCTAGCGATGAAAACAGACAAATTGGAAGGATTTATTAGGGAACTTCCCTCCTCTGGAAAAGTTAGTCGAACTCTAATTATAATACAGTACTGTATTATCACATGTTTGAACAACACATTCACAAACAATGTTATCATTTATATATACTATCCATAAATGTCGTGTTATTTGGAAAATATTTAATTTAAATAATTTAATCATTTTATTAATATTTGTTTGTTTTTTTGTATAACATTTTTAAGACTAAATATTCAATTGATTAGTAGAAACAATCAAACTTTGAGTTCATTTTCAGAGTGTCTTAAATAGCGGCGGCGATGCTATTAATTACAATTATTTGGTCAACAATACATTTAATTAAAAAGTGACCAAGGGCAATGTTGTAGATAATTTTAAACTGGATAAGATTGTAATTGGTCATTTTTTAATTAATTGTATTATATGCCAGATAATTTACAGTCGACTGTTCAACAAATTTATAAATAATAGTCGACTACAATTATCTTGCAAATCATACAATTAATTAAAAAATGACCAATTACAATYTTATCCAGTTTAAAATTATCTACAACATTGCCCTTGGTCACTTTTTAATTCAACGTATTGTTGACCAGATAATTGAAATTAATATCATCGCCGCTGTTTAAGATTCTTTCTTCGTTTTCAATATATTTATTGTATTTAGAATTCGGGAAACTTTCCAAAAGAAGTTCCCTAATAAAATCCCTACAATTTTTCAGGAAAATAAGGAAAATATTTTAGCTTAAATACAATACAAAACTTTTTTTTTGCATAAAATTTAATTGGAATATTTAAAAATAAATTTCATTTCATTTAGTGATACTATTTAACAATACCACTCAAAATATAGTTTAATACAACATTTGTTATTCAAATCTTATGATAAAATGTGTTGTTTTGAGTTCAATATGTGGTAACACAGAGAAAATAAAGTCCATAGGAATTCCCTGTGATGAGGAAAAATAGGSAATTTTTGTTTAATAAAACCAAAGTAGGAATTTGTCCGAACCCTAATCATATTATTGTTAAATATGTTAGATTCAGTTTAGAAATTTTTAATTAAATGAAATATTTTATTCAAAAAACAAATATTTCGTATCCAAAGTATTGTGATTTTACATAAATGCAAAATAAAAAAATAAAAAAATTGTTATAATAATAAAATAATTAATATTAAAAAATAATTATAATTAAATAAAACTAATATATTACAAACATACTAAATTAATACCGTATTACTAATATGAGTATTCTGAAATTTTATTAATTGTCAAATAATTTTTTAAGTTTTCAAATACTTGTAGACTATTATAATAATTTACATAACAATTATTGTCAAACTAATGTATTATTTTATTGGTTTATTGTATTATTTGATGTCTATTTATATTATCAAACAGTATTAGCAAACTGTTTATTTTACTGATAATAGTTGTTTAAACTGATTACTTTTTCATTTGAAACTTTAAATTTAATATAACATAATTAAATAGTATATTTATGAATTTCTAGTAAAATTAAGTATTTTTTAGTAATTTGTAATATTTAAATAATAAAACAAACTATACGTGACAATAGTATAATTTACTATTTTAATACTAACCAGTTTTCATGATACTCTGTAAAAATTGAACGACTTATATATATATATAATAGTTGAACAAGTTCAAATTTTCAAGGTCGATTAATAATTTTAAAAACTTTTTTGTATAGTATGTTAAGCATAATTAATGTTAATCTTATTAACAATAGTTATTAAATAACTTAATAATAACATGTAATTTTCCAATTATTCAATTATCAAATAATGTTTAAATATTACTAATTAACAATTAATACGAATACTAGTAATACTTAAGACTAGTTGTATACTGTTTTAGTAAAATCTAAAAAAATAATTTTACAAAATATTTAAATTGTAGAAAAAATATATAAATAATGACTACTTTTAAGCTTTAAAATTGTCAAATAATTGTCAATTTGATTTAATAAAATGTACTTTATATGATTATTGATCTATACTTTTAATTATTATTATATATGTAAAAAATTTATTATTTCATTTAATTAAATTTATAAATATGATAGCAATATTTTTTTTATTAAAATATAATTTATATWTTTGTCAAAATAATTATTTGAATTAAATTTTAACTTACCATTGATTTTCGTTATTCAATTTAATTTTTTAAAAATTGTATATAAATTTGTTATTTACAAATATATGCCATCAATTTAGCTACAAATGTAGAAAATTTATTTTGAATTATAAAACACAATAATAAGAAAATTATTTAAATCAATGTAAGAAATGAAATTCATTTTTATTAATATAATAATATAAACTTCAAATTAAAATAATTTTACATTAATATAAATCAAATTATTTTTACTTAATTATAATTTAAGCAAAAAAGTGTTTATTGTATTTCTTTTCTTCGAAAATAACACTAAAAAACTAAATAACATTAAAATTGTCATTAAATTTGTTGTATTGTTAGATATCTTTAGTTACTTTTCTATTATCATTTTATCTGAGTATTCGATAGTACAGAACATTACTTTTTTATTATTATAATAATAACTAATTATTTATAGTATTTACAACACAATAGTAATCCTCTCATAAGTCTCTCATCATTTGGATTTCAAAACAATAAACCACATAATAAGTACCATAAATATCATTAAAATGTTTGTCTTTTATGTAAACTATGTTTTTTAATATTATTTATATATATATATATTTATATGTATAAACTTTTCAATTAGACCACAGATTTTTTAAAAATGTTATTTCTGTTTTGTTATTTTAGTAAAATTATACAAACGTTGAAATTTATTTTATATTTTCGTTTTTTGTTTATTATTACACAATTATTAATTAAATTAACTTTTGATCAAACAATGAGATCTTGTATGTGACGGCACATAAGCTACTGTGTTATTACTAAAGACCTCAAAATATGTTATATATATATATATATTTCTCCTGGAATTAGATATTTTGGTTTGTTTTAGTACATATTTTTCAAAAAAATACCTGGCACATATTTTAAGGTCTATAGTTTTTACAATAAATATACTGTACAGTATATATATATATATATAATTATAAATATAGGACAAAGTGATAAACACGCTCTTATGTACCGAAAAAAATTGAGTTTTACTTTCACTTAAATATAATAATGATTTGTCTGTTTGTTTTCTTAAATAAAATTCAAATCTAAATATCAAACATTAAAACTAATGTCATGTCTTAAATAATCCTATAGTATGAGTGAATAGATGTTCGGGTAATTTATAAATGACTGACCGATGAAATGTACAAAATAAATGCCGTGAGATATAATTAACACCATTTAAAAGTTTTAGTTGAATATTATATATATATAATTATGTCTCACAACACTTGAAACTTCCAGTTCCCGCTTTTGGTGTCCACATTGTATTCAAGACAATCGTTAGGTGATGGTATGCCACCGTTCATTGGCGGCGACCGAGCAGTGGCACCGTGTAGACCGTGACCCGACATTACAGGGTTCATGTGTGAGGTCATGTTTGGACCACTCATTTGATTGAGCGCTGAGGACATAGTGGTAACGGCGCCTAACTGTGTGTGATGAGGCATTGCTGACATATGATAATCCATATTTCCGTAATGATATGCCGACGCCGGACCATAACTTTGAGGCGGATAACAGGCTGCGTTAGTTTGTGGCGCACTGCTGGCCATCGGGTGGTGATGATAAGCGGCTGCTCTTTGCATACAACTATTACCAGACATTAAGTCCGATACCGGAGCGATAGCAGCGGGACTCCATATGGAACTATATGTATTGGCACTAAAATATATATTAATACATTAATTATCAAAATAATTAAGACTATAATTAARATAAGAGACAAACCTTGAGTTATTTGAATGCGAGGTAACGGAAGAACACAATGGATTTCCGACATTTGCTGAAGACGTTATGTTTGGCAAATTCGGCGGTTTGTATGGAGAGTCGCCTCTATGTATAGAAGCCGGAGGCGAACTGGTTGCCGAACCGGGAGGCGGAGGACTTTTTGATTTTTTTGGCCGATTCTTTGTCGTATTATTCGTACCGTTTTGTTGCTGTTGTGCCTGTTGTCGACACTTTGCTCTTCTATTCTTAAACCAGACCTACAAATATAAGTCCAATAACATGTAAGTTAAGACAATTTTCCACAATCTTCTACAAGTTAGTCATCAATTACCTGAACCCTAGACTCCGGTAAATTAATTTTGAGCGCAACTTCTTCTCTCATGAAAATGTCTGGATATCTAGTTTTGCCGAACAGAGACTCCAATACATCCAACTGTGCTCTCGTGAAAGTCGTTCGTTCCCTCCTTTGCTTTCTCGGGGGCTGATTGTGACCGTTAGGAGAGATCGCTCCCAAATACATATCTATAGTGATAACAACAAAATCCAGTTAATAAACAAATGTATTTATTTAAACGTAATTAACTATAAATACTAAAACTTATTAGTTATTCATTAAATAGTAAAAAATTATATAAATTGTTATTTACTTAAAATATATCGACTTTTCAGCTCTTAACTCATAACTGATTGACAAAATCACTATTAATACTATCATTTAATAATAGTTTTATATAATTTTAAGCCAATTATGTGCTTAAGAGTCGCTAAATAATACAAGAATTATAGGTCAGAATTGGTGCTCAATTGTCACTCAATTTTATTATTACAACATATTATTGGCTCTGATATTATATACAATACTTTACTATACGTTACTTTTAATGCAAAATGTTTTTGAACAGAAAAACAGCAAACGTTATACAGAATCCAATCCATTAGAAAATAGTGTATATATTCCTTGTTTTCAATGAAAGAAGTGAATTGTCGAGTAATAGATCCAAACTATAGCCTCAAATGAAATCTATTGTTATTTTATATTTGAGGGGAACAGCAATTTCAATACAGTTGTATTGAAACACAGTTTTTAATCCGAGCTGTCGGTTGCGATATGGTATTGCTGTTCACACGCCGAGTCTCCTATCCTGTAAACCCTGTGCTGGCCATACATACAGGCCATATGCAGCTCAAGGATTAACGACAACTCAAAAGGTATATAACTATCGGTAGGTCTAGCATTCGGGTGCGGATCACATATACTACTATTGAATGGCTTGTCAACGATACTCGTACTCAACGTCCATATCTTATATAAGGCCTTCCCTTTTACATATATACACATACACATAGTCATTGCAAACTTAATCCTGTATTTGTGATATTAATAGTTTTTGAGTTATAATATGAGTTGTGAAATAGCACCGGTATATATATAAATACAAATATATTTATATATATCATAGGTTTCATTGATGGGTTCAGTTGTTGTCCAATGACTGCATGACTGGTACTCTTTTCTTATGAGATGAGATTAACGTATATAATATATAAATATAATAGATTGCATGTAAAAAATATATGAATTATATCGTAGTTGATATGCCTGTCCTGTTGTTTGCATCATAACTATAACTATAACTGCATTATTATTATTATATTCAATATATAACCTGCAAATTGTCTGCAATGACTATTGTGCCAAACCTTAAGTTTCAATTTCAGACACACATATCATATACAGTAGTATTTGTTCCGAAACTCAAAGGCATATAATCTCTATTTTTATATTTTATAAGAAAGAGATTAACGTTTTTTGCATTTAATGCCACAAAAGAATAGACATGTTTTTCAATATTGAAAAAAACCTATTGCTTGTGACATAAGGATCATCTCTTTTGCTGCAAAAAAAATGGTAAACGACTCAAGCATTGCATTGTCCACTTGAAACTGAAACTGGCAGTGAAAATATCCAAACAATAATAATAGAAAAAAGGAATTTCTCAGTTCTACATCCAAATAGTCCAGTTTTAAACCTATCCGCACCTGCATTTGGTGACTATGCTGTCCACTATTAACTATGCAGCACACTCTCTCTCTCTCTATATATATATATGTATCGACTACCTGAGCTATGATAGCAGCGCATTCCTTATATACAAATAAATAAATATATATATATATTAGGACACCGGTCAGCAATCCGGGCAACTAATAGTTTTTGCTGACATAATAGGCTGTCCCAGGTCCTAGTCCATCATCTTTTTAACCAGTTCTACACAAATGAAAAATATGTAGACTTTATAAGCCTCTACCTGTACTTAAGGCCGCGTATATTAGCGAGGAATGCAAAATAGTTTCAACAAATGGAGCAAACCTTCCCATACACTGAAAAACACATATCACTAAACAATATAAAGATTATATACAGCATATCAATAGCAAATGTAAACAATGTTTGATATATTAATAATATATTTCAATTTTTTTTGAATAAATAATTAAATTTCTTGAAAATGCAAAGTTTGATGACATTTAATAAAATATAAATGAAACTCCATTAGCACTAACACATTGGTAATATCCCCAGAGTAATACAAAATTATATATATTTGCAAAATAGCCTGCAATGAGTTTATTAGAAAATTTATAGACAATTCAATTGTTTGCATTTGTGACTATAATCTATGGCTTGTTTGATACACATTAGCGTTTAGGGGAAAATCCTCAGAGGGATCCCATATATCCATTTATATACAATTATAAGAGTCATTTGCCTCTAAACAACATGTTTTGCTGTTGAAATTACAAATACTACTGTATTATAGCTATATATATATATATATATATATCAATAATTTGGTGTAAAACTTAAACATAAAATTTGGTGTCTATTTAACCCAAAAATAACTGTTGATATATGGCCTCATAGTTCGTGGCATTTCATTAGACAAATAGACGGTTGAATAGAGGAATCCCCTTATTTGAATTCTGGTGCCTAACAAACATATAACTATTGACAAAATGTGGCACAGGTTTGGTTTACTGAGTAAATAAGTTTTTGTAATAAAATTTGTTGTAATGTCTATTTGCATGTAAATCGCAAACTAATATAAGTGTTGTGTTATTCTTGGAAATACAAATAAAATTATATTTTCTACTATTTTCTTACATTTTTTTGTGTATATGTTAAACAAGCAACAAATTGAGACACTATAGCCATATAAATACAATTGAAAATATGAGCACTACCTAGAAAATATATACCCCCACACTATATATTAAATAACACTATAATAGGTGTTACGGCACAGTTAGGTGCAAAAATATAAGAGCACATGTAATGACTTAAAAACCACTTCATTGTAAGCCACGAAAAGAAATTAATAATTAAGTAGTTTATTATACATAARGCATAGAAAAGTGAGAGAAAAGACATAAATAGCGTTATATTGGTTTTATCGGTGCGACCGACCATTTATTTGATTGGCGGCCATACAGTGGGCAACACATTGTGTGCAATACCACTATTGATTCAATACAACTGTATAGCAATGAAAAATAGATTCAATACTATGAAAGAAGGCTTGAGTTTATGTATCAATCATTGAAAACACATATCAATTGGCAAATTATATGTTCGGCCAAACTTTAGGCCTGTTTTTAGTTTCATTATAGCTATTATATGGTCTAACAATTTAAAAGCTGTTAGAAAGGGTCTCATTGTTTGCAACTGATATTGAGTTCATTTCTAAGGTAGTGAGGAGGCTATGCAAGGGAACAGTATGTATGCTCTTTGGTGTTGGCGTTGGTGGCTGTCGTGTTGGAGGTGTATCTCATTCACTGGTGATCAACAATTGTATTGTGTCAGTAGTTTGTGGTTCACAATAATCCTAATCCCGCTTCCGGCTATATTATATATATAGTAGATTTTTAATAGAGAGAGAGAGAGAGAGAGTAGCGAAATGTAGCAAAAAGTAGTAAAATAAATGCCATATAAAAGAAATGAGTTGTGGACTATAGCTGCGGTGTTTGGTCACCAAAATTAAGACGTCTATCCAATTGTATGTACTTTTTAAACCCAACTCAATGTCCAATACTAGAAATGTCTACAACTATACACTAACACACTATCTCTTCTCAATGTTCTAAAAGCTATACATTTTTGTATTGAAAAAAAAGTATTGAGAATGTATTGAACCGAAAAATCGTGAGAAAAGCATTGACTGGACAGGTGTTAGTTTTATAGTCATCTCATAGTTAAACCCCCGCACACTCTGACAGGCCATACGACACCAATACTGTATAAGAATACCAGTATATATGGTATTGTAATATACCGGTGCAAATGCAATAAACATAGGATTAAATACAGTCAATATCTTCAAAGCAAATAAAAACCCATTTTTAATATCTCTTATCTCTTGATATATATAGTAGTGTCACATACTTTGTAATATCAATATAAAGCATAACATTGTTATCATTTGTATAGTACTCACCAGGATATCCAACTGAAGAGTGTAACAGATCTACGGGACCGGCAGAAGTGATGCCGATGCCATTCATGCCATACGGATTCGACTTGAGGTAAGCCATGGCCGGGTGACCACCGGTAACGGCCTGATGGCAGGCACCCGAAGTAAACGGATTACACGATGCGGACATTGGCTGAAAAGCCAGAGTTGATATTGTGTTGACTGACGGAGTGATGTTTGCAACTGTTGTGGATGTGCTTCACTACAGACCGAGTCAATCAAGTTGTGCGCGGATGCGGACTATAGGGAGTGGAAAGGGAGGAGAGAGTCAGTTAGCAATGCTGTCGACAAATCGCAAACAACTATTCACTACAGAGCTCTTCATTATAACCATAACTGCAAACACATTGTTTAGAAAAGAGAGAAACATATGAATCGTTTCGTTATATTATCTCAAATGTATGACTATTGCTACACATCTTACTGTTCTTTCTATTAAATACTAAATACTGTTTCACTAAAAGCTCTATTATGTGCTCTCAAAATACACTAAGGAATACCTATTGGTTCACCTGTTTATAGGAACTGTCCATCAAATACACGCATACCTTGACTTTCAAGTGTATCTAATGGGTATATGTATACACATTTAGAGTACATGTACTGTATATGGTATGCACTTTAGGGACAGTATGGGTAATGTAGCCAATAGATTGCTAGCAAATAGCAACTGTAGGTATTAGCCCAGGAGTTGAAAGGGTAAGCAAACAGTAAACACGGATATGTCAAGTGACGCGTGCAATGAGGCAAAAGAAAAATGAGTGAAACTGTCGATAAATTTCTTGTCTTTTCTAACATTTTACTGACAACTAAGCCTTTGTCCAACACTTTCATTGCAATACATATTACTAGACATCACTAAAGCACAGGACATAGACATACATTACATTCACACTAAACATATAACAAACTTATAGTTTACTTCTTTTAAAAATATTTCTAAACCTAGATATTCCTATTGTATGACTATATGCCCGCCGGTAATGATGACCAGTTTGTCGGACATTTCGATAGATATGCCGAGTATAGCACAGATATATACACACAGATATCACACGCTGCTTGATATTGCAAACATATTTAGGGATCAAAAACGATACCAAATATTAAACAAATATTTGTATTATTATAATTTAGTCAAAAATAAGTCGATGACATGAGAGGTCATCAGATGGCTGTGCCTTAAAAAAGACAACACAACTAATAACAGTCTAATAATAATGGTATTCAWGTATTATTTTAAAGAAATATTTTTAAAAACTCCAATATTTTGTATGAAAAAACAGGTATTCATATAATCCTTCAAAGAGACGAAAGCGCACCTCAAATATATGAGTCATTTGGTGCGGACATTAAGCACCATAAGAAACAACAACAAAATACATATCATAAGACATCAAACAATTTTTTTATCCGCCGGTTCACCAAAAAAAAAGGCCGACCACTAGAAAGACTAGTTGTTATACACCGTGTTTATGATCTACTTATTAATCAATAAATAATACCATGATTTGCATCTTTAAAAAACCAACACAACATTATACAKTATAGAGTAGTAGTAGTGAGTTATGAGAATAGGTAGTACTCATCAAAAATTTGTTTCAAATATTTTATATGACATATCTCTCTCTCTCTCTCTGGTCTCTCCGATCTATGACAATGATGGACATCATAAACACTGACAAATCTGCCGGCGCTGTCTTTGTTTGATTAATATCATTCATTCTGTGTATGTTGTTGTGTCAAATAGTTTGGTTAATGATTGAGACACATGTATTGCAACGTTGAGAAAAAAAGAGAGACATATAACTAATGTATGTTTTTTTAGTTAAAAGACAGATAGAAAGCCCTCCAGTGCTACAAAAAATATAAAGTTTTGATACATAATATGAAAAGAGAGAAAGACTGCTAACAGTGATTGCTCTGCGATTAAAATACATTTGATTTACCAATTGATTATTATAAACATTTTAAACATAAAAAAATTTGCTTAAAAGCAATTGCAAAACCGATGACACAATTGAATATAAGAGTAGACATATAACATACACAAGAGTCCTGTGCCCACCACTCTCAGTGTGCGACCACACCTGACCTGTAAACTATTTTGGAGGCAAATATTGTTACGTTGGGTAACATTGAAACCATTGCACAAAAATTGAAAGAAGTTTTTGGTTACGTGTCGTCCCATTAGAAACTACTGTTAAAAAAGCTTTTGCATTGTATTGCAAACAAACACTCGATGAGAGAGAGAGAGAGAGAGATTTCAATTGTATTTTTCTTTGTAAATTTTATGTCACTTTTTATATAACAGTTTCCAAGAGTGAAAAGAGACTATCAAATTGCCAACTCTGTGACCAACTTTTTATTTCATCAAAATTTTTCAATAGTAATAAAAGCTTTGTATAATGTTTTGTGTGTATATATTTTCTTTACTCTTACGTTTCACATTTGTATCATTATATTATTATTTATTTTAAAATAAAATTGTTGCTTTTATGGATTTGACAAATTTTATATACAAGAAAAATTCATAACAAATATATAAACATCAAATGAGACATTGATTTAATACACCAATTACAACACTAAATACTCTATTGCCAGACATTAGTAATCCTCTCAATGGGTAATACCTTTATTATTATATGGCTTAAACGATTTTAGATCACTTAAAAATTATTACAATTGATAAGATTAAGAGCAAAATTGAGTTATCTTTATACCAACATTTTTAAACAGGTGTCAGTGCTATACCTTTTAACTATGACAACATTATTGCTATTTTTTAAAAGATTGATTAAAATATAAATTTTATCTATGAATTTTTTTAATGATAAAAATTGAAATTCAAATACTAATAATATAGTGATACTTAAATATACAGTACTATGAATACATTTGTATTTAACAACACATTTAACAACTGTTTAGCGATTTATGTCTCTTTTAGTTTCCATCTATTAGTGTGCGATGAGAAGCGATAATAAAGCAAAAGTTTGTCTAAAATATTGAAACATAAGTGGTTTGAAAGTGAGAGACACCAAAATGTGGGCATCGGTTTGGAAACAAACGGTCTATCGGTTTGTATTATATGAGTGTGTGTTTGCGGTACACACACTGGTTATTATAGAGTACATTATATATATATATATATATATGATATATGGAGTGTTATTATTTAGACGGGGTATCGGTTTTGGGAATCGGCAGTCCATCAGCTAATGTGCAAATGCCAGTGCAATCACTACTTCCCTATTTTCTGCTCCAACAGGTCTTAATGGAAAATAATGCACTTTTAGCGACAATCAGATGGGAAACTCTCAAGATGTTAGCTTTACCACTGATGGCACTGTTATGTTATGTTTTGTGTATAAACATTATACTCTTGATTGTTATATACATTGAAATACACTCTACAGTAAAATTCAATTCATAAAAACTTGTGTGACATTTACTCTATGAAAACATTTGATGTTAAAAATGTTACAAATTCTACTCAAATCTAAGTTTATACAATAAAAGCTATATATTTAAGTATTTTTCATACTTTTTTTGTATAAGTTATGAAATGTGATTTATGAATGTATATAAAATGAATTGAATAATAGTATAATAAAGTGTAGAATAATTGTAGTGACATTTTTTCTGATAAATTGTGATATAATTATTCGTTAGTATAATCTTTTAATCCACAATAAGAAAGTAAGTTTGAAAAAGTGCTACCAGTGCTCAACACTAAGTCGTATTAACTGTTTGTAGAGATTAGGCAAACTGTTATGCTTTCTGTCTGTTTATTAATCACATAAAAGTACAACAAAAACGAAACTTTTATAATGTAGTAGTTTTATGTTATGCAATGTTTGTATAAAACATCAATTGATTGTGTTTTAGACGAGTTGTGTCAATGATATGACACGAGTTAGTCAATGACGACTACTACTAACCAATCAATTGTCGTCCCAATTGGACTAATGGCTGAAATCAGTGCTAAAGTATACACAAGTGATGAAAAGTTACACATTATTTGGATTATAGGGTCCGACAACATAAATAAAACTCAGAATATTTTAGTTAACTATGAAAGTAGAGATAGAGAGGGAAAGAAAGAAAGAGAGAGAGAGAGAGAGAGAGAGAGARTCGTGAGCTCTGTTAGAGTCTGATAAAACTCAGGGCTCAGTTATGTCAGAATGTATGGCTTAGGGCTCAGCTGTGCAAACAATATTTAACAATAGGTAGCAAAAAGTGAGTCCCACTTTTGTATGGCCAGCGGTAGTGCCACTAATAAACCGTACAACTAGTTTGCAGTTCACGGTATCTGTCATCACATGACTGCCTGTATTTGGCTGTCAATGTTGGACACAGAATCACAGAATTGACAAACACATCGATACTACATATACTATACATTAATATATGTACACTATATATATGCACTGTTATGTTTAAATAAATATATGAGTAGTATAGATAGTGTACAATACAATGTTGTATATGTATTTACAAAGCTATATATATTTATATATTCTGTGAATTAAAAGAATACATTTTTCATTGTATGCATAGCATTGAATATAACAAATCATAGGACAGGGAGGACAGTATGTTTGGCAATCGAGTCGATTACAATCAATAATCAATTCATTGCATTTCTATGTAATCTATATCTTGTTTTTCTTGTCTCCTTTTTATATCGGACACCGAAATCTCTTTTTTTTATTACGGTATGTATGCCTTAGATCGCATACACTGATTAAGGGAAACAACACTATTGACATGAGAGCTAACCTCTCTTCACTGTTATATTAAGCACTTATATCTCTTAAACTTATGGGTTGAGAGTACATAAAAAATATGTTTTTTGGCTGAAAGATAACGATAGAAAAACAGTGAAATATTTAGCGGTACTGACATTTCCAATACTAATATAATAATGTTAATAATACTACTAATAATGAATTATATTATGGTATTTGCAAAGATTGCGAAAAAACAAAAATACATTAATTATCGAACTGTCTTAACAAACAATATGAAAATATTGTTTACAACAGAATAGTATTTGCATTTTATTGACATTAGTTTAGAAAAAATATATGTGTTGTTACTTCTGTTGTTTTTTTTTGATAATATAAATAAAACATTAGGCAATAAATAAATACAACACAACTGATAATAATAATAATAAGCCTCTCATCAATTGGCAAAAGCTGTTGCCGAGAAAAGCCACAGTTTTTTAA